ACACACAGACACACAAACAGCAGCTGTCATGTGTGCATAACATCACAGCTCCCCCTGCCTGCGTGCCTCCCTAGGACTGCTTTGTAGAGTGAGATTTTTCCTGACCTCGTTTGAGATTTACAACCTGCTGTGAAAGACTGATGGCACTGTCAGAGCCACGTTGTTCCTTCTAGTAAAGGGCCGAGACAAAGAAACTGCTGCTCAGGGGTCAGCCTGCTGCAGCAAGAGCTCTCTCCTCGAAGCACCTCCTCATCCAGGATCCCTGATCCTTCCTGCTGGGGTCATTACAGAGGTCAAAGGTCAGCAAGACATTTTTAACCATTGTTGTCTGGCTTGATAACAAGCCAAAATGTTTTTTTATAAAGGAACCCATATCAAAACTTTTAGGCTGAATGCACAGATACATGATGCTCTGTCACAGTAGTTAGTGATACAGCATGGTGGGACAACTCTAAAGTGATGAGGTTTAGCAGCTCTTTGAGGCAGAAAGGGAAAGGAACTCCATTATACCATTATGTCCGTATAGGCTGCTGAGCCCGGTTCCATTGCCAACTTGCCCAGCTTTGGTAAGAGTATCTGCTAGAGGTGTAAACACCAATACTGTCCCAGTCTGGACCGCAGGGCTAACTGAGCTGGAACATTTACTGCAGGGCTGAATAATAATGATATAACTTAACTCCAGGCAGCATTCTTTCACATCCATGACTTTTGCAGTGATTGTGAACTGGAGAAAGTCTTTTTGGGCCAGTGTGCATCACGTGAACCTGCACACACCCACAAACAGAAAACAGACACCTCCTGTCTCACTGTGTCTTCCAGTGTGTGTACTGATAGGGTGTGGACAACAATAACGCTTGGAAATCAAACATTATTAACAAAGCGAATATCTGCGCCACCAGTATTATTATCCTGTCTCTTTGTCTGACTGAATGAATGGCTGAGCGCCACTGACAGTACATTAAAGATATTTTCCCCTCAGCTGAGCTGGATGCCATGTGCTGCAGCCCATAATAACTGGCTTTTCCAGGCCTATGTGGGTTAATCCACGGTTACATAAGGCCACCTCTAATGACTCTGTGTGTTTTGCTGCAGGTGATGGGGTTAATGGTGCGTACACTGACTTCCACTTTAGACCCGAACCAATGCTATGCATAGCATGAAAAGATGAATATTATTGAGTGTGTATTACACACACTGTTAACACAGAGAGTGTATACAGGGGTTGGCAGAGGACGAGTTTCCCTGGTGGCCAACCCAGACTTTTGATCGGTCAGTAACACTGATATGAAAAGATTTAAGGACCAGCATGTAGGATTTATCGGCATCAAGTGGTGTAGTTGCAGATTGCAACCCCTTTGTCTCACCCTCCTGTCCCAGCTGTGTAGGAGAAACAACAGTGGCTGCAAAAGGTCCTATCTATAGTGTTTGGTTTGTCCCTTCTGGGTTACTGCAGAAACATGGCGGACTCTGTAGAAGACCACAGAAAGTAGTGCTGGAGACAGTATTTTCTATGATCTTCAATTACAATAATACAACTGTGTGTGTGTGTGTGTGTGATGCTTCTATCATTTACACCACTATGTAACAATACTGTATTACTACCACTTATTATATTTTATCATTTTATTTTTTTAGATCACAGTATTGTTGATTTCTATTAAATATATATGTACTCTTTTATTACTGTATATTGTAAATAGTACAAATACTTCACATATATGATATAAAACACTATATACTATATATGTGTAATACTCTCATAGAATATACATTTCACAAAAGTCTGTATATATATATACTTTATTGCAAACATTCAACTAAACAGTGTGTCTCTTGAAAAATTGGGTTTTTGCTCTCTGTGTGTTAAATATATGCTGGTTGAGTATGTGTGTTGGGTATGGGTATGTGGGTCTCTTATGATAGGCCCAGGTCAGATTTTTAAGGACTACTGCCCCCTGACCAGGACTACTGCCCCCTGACCTGCTGTATGGATCTATCAGTGCAACATACTGTAAGTGGACAGCTGGCCAGGTTGCCATGAGTTTGGCTTTGGATAGTTATTGCCAGCAGAGGAGTCTTCCCCTAGCACCACCCCCAGGACAAAATGTGAACTTTGCACACAAGACACCACAATCTAGTGGGAAGGTTGCAGTGAATTGCTGCATACAATAAACTTTGATTTTAATGACCTTGTGGACTTTCCTCAACCTCCACCTTCAAAGCAAATATCATATATCAAGCATCATTAAGTAGAGGAAAATAGTGGAACCAGCTTAATACTGGACTTTGGAGACGGATACCGATACCATTATTTCCAAGTAATAAATCCAATCAAACTAAATAAAACAAAAATGATCCCAAACATTTTGGATTATAAATAAACTGTTGTAATAAAACATTTTAAAAGGTGTGTGGCAGAATATTATTATTATTTTTTTTTA